CTTCACCAATGGGTTCATTTTTTTTTTTTTTTTAAGATTTTAAAAAATATTTTCAGTTCCTAGCAAGCAGAAAAATCAGAGTTTCATTGACTTTCATCTTTTAAAAAAATATTATCTATGTTTATTTGTGGTCGCGCTGGGTCATTTTTGCTGCAAGCAGGCTTTCTCTGGTGTGGCAAGTGGGGGCTACCCTTTGCTACCCTTTGTTGTGGTGTGCAGGCTTCTCATTGCGGTCGCTTCTCTTGTTTCAGAGCATAGGCTCGAGGTGCCCAGGCTGTAGTAGTTGCAACAAGTGGGGTTAATAGCTACAGAGTGTGGGCTCCTGGGCATGCAGGCTTCAGTAGTTACTGCACACAGGCTCAGTAGTTGTGGCTTGTGGGCGCTTTTGCACGCAGGCTTTAGTAGTTGCAGCTCATGGGCTCAGGAGTTGTGCCATGTGGGCCTAGCTGCTCCATGACATGTGGAATCTTCCGGGACCACGGATCAAAGGGCTGTCCCCTTCTTTGGCAGACAGATCCTTATCCACTGTGCCACCAGGAAGTCGCTTTATTTTTTCCTCAAAAGATTTTGAGGATTGTTTGTTTCCAAGGCATTGATTATTTTCTAACTATCAAACTGTCTTCAGTAACCAACAATTTTAATCCATACATCTAGCCTTCTTGTAGAGTCCTCCATGCTCACTAGAAAATCAGTCTTACTAGGCTGTTGTTAGAGAGAGCTATCATTCACTGTTAATTTTTACCTCTTTCTTTATTCTCTCCACAATACAGGTTTAGGTACTAGATTTTTCCCTGAGGTGCTGTAAAGAATTTTTTTTTTTTAAGATACCCAAATAGGCTACTTTTTTCTTTTTTCTTTGTCATTTCTCAAGATTCAGTAGGACTAGCTACAGGAGATGAAAGTTGGAATCTGGATGGTATAAAATTTTATACCTTCTCATACAGAGATTTTCATATGTGTTTAATTTTAAATTAGGTGTTTGCTCCATGTTGCCTTCAGCAGTTTGATTTTCTAGGCAAACAGTTAAAGAAACAATATAGAGCAAATATATATACATAGTGCTCTGTGTGTATACTCAGTCGCTCAGTCAGGTCCTACTCTCTGCAACCCCATGGACTGTAGCCCACCAGGCTCATCTGTCCTTGGAATTTTTCAGGCAAGAATACTTGAGTTGGTTGCCTTTTCCTACTCCAGGAAATCTTCCCAACCCAGGGATCAAGCTTGTGTCTCCTGCATCTTCTGTACTGGATGGCAAATTCTTTATCACTGCACCATCTGAGAAGCCCTAGACAGATCTCTGCTAAAACCTAATTAACTTTATATAAATAAGGCTACTCGGAGCTTCCCTAGTGGTTCAGTGGTAAATAACCCACCTGCCAGTGCAGGAGACATGGGTTCAATCCCTTGGTCAGGAAGTTCCCCTGGAGAAGGAAATGGCAACCCACTCCAGTATCCTTGCCTGAGAAATCCCAAGGGGAGAAGAGCTAGGCAGGCTCCAGTCCATGGGGTTGCACAACTTAGCAACTAAACAACAATAATAAGGCTACTTGGTACCTAAAAAAGGGGGAGGAACTTATGTGTGAAATAATATTGAGGCTGTGAAGTGCCTTTGACTGTGTGGATCACAACAAACTGTGGAAAATTCTTAAAGAGATGGAAATACCAGATCACCTTGCCTGCCTCCTGAGACATCTGTATGCAGGTCAAGAAGCAAGAGAACCAGACGTGCACCAATGGACTGGTTCCAAATTGGGAAAGGTATACATCAAGGCTGTATATTGTCACCATGATTATTTAACTTATACGCAGAGTACATCATGTGCAATGCCAGGCTGGATGAAGCACCAGCTGGAATCAAGATTGCTGGGAGAAATATCAATAATCTCAGATATGCAGATGACACCACTGTTACGGCAGAAAGAGGAGAGACACTAAAGAGCCTCATGATGAAAGGGAAAGAGGAGAGTGAAAAAGCTGGCTAAGATTAAACATTCAAAAAACTAAGATAATGGCGTCCGGTCCCATCACTTCATGGCAAATAGATGGGGAAACAGTGGAAACAGCAACAGACTGTTTCCTTGGGCTCCAAAATCACTGCAGATGGTGACTGCAGCCATGAGATTTAAAGATACTTGCTCCTTGAAAGAAAAGCTATGACCAACCTAGACAGCATATTAAAAAGTACAGACATTACTTTGCCAACAAGGGTCTGTTTAGTCAAAGCTATGGTTTTTCCAGTAGTCTTGTATGGATATGGGAGTTGAACCATAAAGAATGCTGAGAGCTGAAGAATTGATGCTTTTGGACTGTGGTGCTTGAAAAGACTCTTGAGAGTCCCTTGGACTGCACAGAGATCAAACCAGTCAATCCTAAACTAAATCAGTCCTGAATACTCATTGGAAGGACTGATGGCAAAGCTGAAGCTCCAGTATGCTTATGTTCTCCAATATGCTTCGGTATGTTCTTATGCGAAGAACTAACTCATTGGAAAAGACCCTGATGCTGGGAAAGATTGAAGGCAGGAGGAGAAGAGGATGGCAGAGGATGAGATGGTTGGATGGCATCAGCAACTCAATGGACATGAGTCTGAGCAAGCTCTGGGAGATGGTGATGGATAGGGAAGCCTGGCGTGTTGCAGCCAATGGATTCCCAAAGAGTCTGGTATGACTGAGTGACTGAACTGAACTGAACTGAAGTGCTAAAAGTCTGTTTTATATATTTAATTAAGTTTTTTGGGGAAATGGGTGTCAGTGACAACCAGTGACTTTGGATCATTCACTTAACTTTGCTTGAGGTTGTTTTTTTCATCAATAAAATTAAAAAGTCAGCCTATTTTCAAAGTCCCAGCCAGTTATAGTTGTAGGAATCCCTGAGCTGTGACTATTGGAACTTATGTAGGAATGAAAGGAGCATTGCACATCAAAGGAGCAGCTTGAGTTACACCAGTCTCAGGCTTCCACTTGTGGTTTTAGATAACTGGGTGTGAGAATTTAATAAATAAAGTACTGTTATTTTCATTTGTTACAGAGTGTAGCAAATAAACTACACTCTATAATACACTAAAGTGAAAGTGCAGGTCCCTCAGTCGTGTCCAGTTCTTTGCGATCCCATGGACTATACACTCCATGGAATTCTCCAGGCCAGAATACTGGAGTGGGAAGCCATTCCCTTCTCCAGGGGATTTTCCCAACCCAGGGATCGAACCCAGGTCTCCCGCATTGTAGGCAGATTCTTTCCCAGCTGAATTATCAGGGGAGCCCATAATATACTAAATGATACAGTAATTTACATCGATGGACTATGAAAATCCAAATTGAAAAATGAGAAAGAACATTTGCCTCATTCACTCGCCTTCTTATAAAAGCAGTGCTCCTTCATTATCCTTTGTCTTTTGTTTTGCTGTTCAGTAATTTCTTCTTGCCTACTGTAGGGTCAGTATTGGAAGGCGTCAGAACCTCCTAATCCTGTCAATCAGAGGAATGTACTCTACCAGAACTGGGCTCGGTTTTCTTATTTTTACAAGGAGCAACCTTTTAATTTGATTAGGTAAGTTTCTTACACAAAATCAAACTAATTAAAACTTGATTATGTCCTTTTTATTCACACTGGCATCACATTCCATTCTTTTTGCTATTTTCACCCACTATATTTCCCATCTGCCCAGTTTTGTATCTAAACTATCATTTAGTCATTCATTTGTGAGAAAAATGCTGTTGTGAGAATGGTCTTAACCACTTTGCAGAAATAGCTCGATGGTTCAGAGGTTAGGCCTTAGTATTTAGGTAGATTAGGTTCAAATCCAAGTTCTTTCTCTTAGAAACATATAAACATGTTCAAGTTATTTAATCTCTAGGAGTCTCATCTATAAAATAGGAGTAACAATAGTACTTTCCCTTTGGGGTTATTTGATAATTAAATGATATTTTTTAGAATGGGTTTAGCACTTAGTGTTTAATATATTTATTTTTTGTTCGTTTGTTTTTCTCTGGGTCCAGGAATTTAGAAGATAACAGAAAGGTTGTATATAGCTTGTATATATCGATCTCAGCTGTGAAGGCAGTTGTTCTATTATTTCAATTCTTAGTTTCATTTGCTGTGCAGGAAGACTCTGGTTGCAGGTTCTTGCTTTGAACCATAACAATGCTACATATATACAGGGTGTTAGGAGACTCCTGCTATGGTTTCAGTAAAGACACAATCAGACGACAGAACCCCGGTTGTGGTATTTTTACTCAATGATTGATGTTTTAACTGCTCTGCTTGCACAGCATCATGGCCTCTTTTTTTATAAGACTGATTTGGATGTGTATATGCAAGTCAACTGAAATGTTATTCCAACAGTTTCATTAAAGGCAAATAGGAGGGGAAATTTGTAAGAATAAGTAAAAGACAGCTAGCATATAAACAACAGTTTCTATAAATCATTATATGAACTCTTCAATGGATGGATATTTTAGTTGTTCTGATTAGTAGTCATATAATTTTTTAAGTTATAAAAGTAGGACATGTATATGAAAAAATTCTAAGCAATAAAGATGTGTGCAAAGTTTTAAGTGAAATTCCACTTCCCTTAAACTCCACCAAAGTGACTATGCTTGATTTGGTGATAGCCATTCAGCTTTATTTTTATGTGCCTGCATAACAAAATACATACACAAGCTGTTTTTTTCTGGAGCAAGGGACTCTTTACTTGCTTTTTTGCTAAGATTTTTTTTTATCACTAAATAATATATTATTTGTATACTTCCCTGTGAATGCACCCAGATCTACCTTCTACCTTTTAACAGAGCATAGAGTACCATATTATAAATTTTGCATAACTCTTTTATCTATTTTTCTGTTAAAAAAGATTAGGCTGCTTCAAAATTTTCACTATTACAGTCAGTGCTATTAAGAACATTTGCAGACATTGTGCCCTCAGAGAATGTTTTCATAGTATACTTTCATATAAGCAAGGTTGTCAGAATGAGACTTACATATTTTACATTGTTGAAAATATATTGAGAGTACTTAGCTGTCTACAGATATTTCTGCTATAAATATTCCCCAAAGGTTTATATGTATAACCTTTGACATAGACAAACACATTACTTCTCAGATCAGTACCTTGTTAGCACTTTCTGATTTTCTTTTAGAACAAAGTGGAAGCTCAGATATTTCATCAGATAGCAGTATCTGACTTAAATTTAATAACTTTTTAAAGTTTTTCATCATATTATAGCTTTTCATTTATAGCAAATTGTACTGCTTTTCCATTTCAGTAATGAGATAATCTTTAAAATAAAGTTAAAATTTTAACAAAATTTATGTAAAGAATTAATGAGTAGGTGTGAAGTTTTTAACCAGGTAAACCAAAAAGGAAAGAAAACACCATGTTATCACAGAGAAAGGAGTTGCAGAAAACAGTTATTATCTTTAAGGTTGCTTCTCAGTGATTATGTAGGACAGTATCCTTATTCTTACTAATAGACAAGGAAGTATTTTAGGTAAAGGACCATGAAGTACATTTTCAAACAACTTATTTGTAAGTAATTCAAATATATATATACAGCTACCCACTCTAGTATTCTTAGGCTTCCCTGGTGATTCAGACAGTAAAGAATCCACCTGCAACATGGAAAACCTGGGTTTGATCCCTGGGTCGGGAGGAGTCCCTGGAGTAGGGCATGGCAACCCACTCCAGTATTCTTGCCTGGAGAATCCCCATGGACAGTGTGTATATATACACACACCCACACGCGTGCATATACACACACACACACACACACACACACACACACCTGTGTGCGTTAGTTACTTAGTCGTGTCTGACTGGAGAATCCCCATGGACAGTGTGTATATATACACACACCCACACGCGTGCATATACACACGCGCACACACACACACACACACACACCTGTGTGCGTTAGTTACTTAGTCGTGTCTGACTCCTTGTGACCCCGTGGACTGTAGCCTACCAGGCTCCTCTGTCCATGGCATTCTCCAGGCAAGAATACTAGAGTAAATTGTCATTTTCTTCTCCAGGGGGTCTTCCTGACCCAGGGATCAAACCCCGGTCTGCCTTGCAGGCAGATTCTTTACCATCTGAGCTATAGGGAAGTCCATACACACACATACATGGGGCAATATATGAAGTGAGATAAAATGCAATGGAACAGTATTTTATTTATAATAAAAGAGTTAAAGGGTACATAGGTATTATTTGAATTATTCTTGCAATTTTACCTCTATATTTGAAATTATTTCCAAAGAAAAATACTTAATAAAAGGAGAGTCCTGAAATAGATCCATATATAGATAGATAGATAGATAGATTTTCAATAAAAGTGCCTGTTGTTCATTGGGGAAAGCATAGTCCTTTCAAAATATGATACTAAAACAAGTGGCTATCTGCATGAAAAACCTGAATCTTGACTCTTTCCTGTATAAAACTTTAAACTAACTTGAAATAGATAAGAGAACTAATTGTAAGGACTACAACTACAAAACTTCTAGATCATATAGGAGAAAACTGTGGTCTGGAGTTAGGCATGGACTTTTCAGATAAAATGCAAAAAGCACAATTTTAAAAACATAAATTTAATTTCAAAAATTAGAATGTATGCTCTTAAAAAACACTGTTACAAAAATAAAGAGCAAACCATATGCTGGAGAAAATGCTTGCACAACACATGTATCAATGAAGGACTTTTATCCAGAATATTTAAGGAACTTTTACGACTCAGTGATAAGAATAAAATGGAAAAAAGATTATAAAAGATTTTTCAGCGAAGAAATATGTTTATGGATTGGCAGTAAGTATGTCAAAAGATGTTGTTGCTGTTCAGTTGCTAAGTCGTGACTCTCTGCAACCCCGTGACTGGAGCACACCAGGCTTCTCTGTCCTCCGCGATCTCCTGCAGTTCGCTCCAGCTCACGTCCATTGCGTCGGTCAAGCTATCTCACCCTCTCATCCTCTGCTGCCCCCTTCTCCTTTGGCCTTCAGTTTCCCCCAGTATCAGGGTCTTTTCCAGTGAATCGGCTCTTCGCATCAGGTGGCCAAAGTATTGATGCTTGAGCTTCAGCAACCGTCCTTCCAGTGAATACTCAGGATTGATCTCCTTTAGATTGACTGGTTTGATCTCCTTGCAGTCCAAGGGACTCTCCAGAGATGTACACTCTCTTTATTCACGAAGGGTATAAAAATTAAAATGCCATCGAAATACCACTGCATGCCCACTAGAATAGCTAACATTGAAAAGATTAGCATCAATAAGGGCTATTAGGGATGTGGGGCAACTTGAAATCTCAAAGGTTGGTGATGGGGATACAAAATGGTATAGCAACTTTGAAATAATTTTGAGTTTCTTATAAAGATAAATATGCACTTTCTGTTCAAAGAATAGATCTACTTTTATCTACTTGTCTGAAAAATATTAATATTATTAAAAAGTTTATCATTGCCTCAATGATTTGAGGTACCACCTGTATCACATGTGCTCAGTCACTCAGTAGCCTGTAGTAGACTGTGGCCTGCCAGGCTCCTCTGTCCATGGCATTCTCCAAGCAAAATTACTGGAGTAGGTTGTCATTTCCTCCTCCAGGGAATCTTTCCAACCCAGGGATCGAACTCAAGTCTCCTGCATCTCCTTCACTGGCAAGCGGGTTCTTTATCACTGTGCCACCTAGGAAACTCTTTATCATGTGCTAGATTTCTGTATGTACTCTAGCTGATTTCTGGATGTTCTGTCTATTTGGTTGATCTTGCTAACTATCCATGGACCAGTAGCAGGCTGTTTTTTTAATTTAATTTTTATTTTATATTATGGTTGATTCGCTATATGTTGTGTTAGTTTCAAGTGTATAGTAAAGTGATTTGAAGGCTGTTTTAATTGTGGTGTCTTAGCTCTAGTGTATTTTAATATCTAGTTGGGCTAGTAACTTGTCATAGCTCTTCCTCTCAGTGTTTCTTTGTACATTCTACGAGTTTATCCTTCCATATAAACTTGAATCTCAACTTGTCCATCTTGTTACTAAAAAAGATGGTTGATATTTTTATGGAAATTGCATTAAGTTTATAAATTAACTTAGGTAGGCTGGTAGTCTCATCTTCAGATATTCTAATTAAGGCAAAGTCATGTCAAGGAAAAGATGTGTCTTTAAGCTTACTTTGGGTTTTTTCAAGGGTATTGTAGAGTTATAAAACCTTCTTAAGTTTAATCCTCAGTATTATACTTTTGTTGCTATTATAAATTATATATTATACATATTCAGACTATAGGATCAGTAATTTTAAGGTAAAACATCAATATTACTGCTATGCACCTAACCAGAAAATTACTAGGGAACTCATAAACTGATATTCAGATATTTTTATTCTTTTTATTTTGATGTTATGCAGTATCATAATAATTGCTGTATTCTTCAGCAAAAAAAGAAGGGAGAAAAAGCAAGTTTACTCATCTTCTGTGAGTGAACCTAAGGAAGTTGTAAGTAAATTAACAAAGGAATACAATGGAATCATAGTTTAATTTCAGGTTTATAGTAATTTGAAAAGCAGAACAAGGAAAAACAACCATGTAAAAATGTTTATTATCACTGAGAAGAATAGAAGATGGTACAAGCAGAAAGATCCCTCCTTTTGTTAGAAAAGATTAGAAATTTTGAAAACTGAAGGATGGGAGGTTCAATAAAATTAATACTGAGTGAGAAAAATGCTTTAAAACCTTCTCATTGGGAAATTAAGTTTATGTTAAGTTTGTATTATGTAAAATTTAATTTATGTTTAGATTTGTGTTTTTTTTAGTGTGGAAATTACAATTTAATCATAAATGGTATAATAGATTTATGTATACCATGCTATCAGTGTCCAGGAAGAATCACATCTCTCTGACTAGGAAGCTGTGGAAAGACTTCACATGTTTGGTGAGCTGAACTCTATATGAATAAGGGAGAAGATTAACCTGTTTTGTGTTTTTAAAATTTTTTTTTAAAAAAGTCTAGTTTTCTGAGGCGGAAAAAACCTTGTTCTCTGAGTCTTTGAGAGATTCCTTAAGGGGAGAGTTAGTTTAAAAAACAACAGCAGGAAAAAAAAATAACAACTTGATAAAATTTGAATATTTGTGCTAACTAATGCTGTCATTTTTTAACTTGTAAAGCAAGAGCTGAGCCCATATATTCTTTGGAATCATTTTTGATTCCTTGGTTTGTACCCTATCTTACTGTTTTGTAAGATTCATCAGAGGTCGAGATTTCGAGGAAGATAAAAGTTCATATGTAAAACTACCCTCATCCATTGTGATCTGAGTACTTTCTTCAATCTTAGAGATAAAGCAGAAGTCTTGGGACACATTGTGAATGTGATTTTGATTTGTTAATTTCTAGAAGCATGTTCTGTACTTTATTTCAAAACATTTAAATTCTCTTTAAAATTTCAAAGTTTTTCAAATTACCTGATTATTTAAAAATAAATCTTAACTTCCGCTTAGTTGGCTTCTTATTTATATGTATTGTCTCTTTGAATCCTTACACCAAATCTATGGATAAGCATCATCCTGCATTTTATGATGTGGAAACTAAAGTTTAAAACATTGAGTAACTTTATCAAAATTATAGGGCTAGAAGGCAATGGGGCCAAAGCTAGAATACAAGCGTGTCTGAATGGAAAACCACGACTCTCTGAAATTCATTATTCTTCCAGCCTCTGATTTCATTTTTACCTTCTTTCACAGGGATTATTACGGAGAAAAAATTGGCATCTATTTCGTCTTTCTTGGATTTTACACAGAAATGCTGTTTTTTGCAGCTGTGGTTGGCTTGGCTTGTTTTATTTATGGTTTATTAACGATTCCTAAGACCTCAGGCAGGTAAGTGCAGCTGAGTTTCCCAAACAGAGAATCTTATGCTAGCCAAAATTATATTTTTCTGAAATTTGTGTCAGAATGTTTTTTATTACAGCAGATAATTGATATTTCTGAAAAAGCCCCAAACACAACAGCTACCTCTCACTTGGTGCTTTATGGAAAATCTGTTTAAGAATGGGCTTTAAAGATTCTTTTCCTTAAGCATGATTTGATCTACAAAAATTGCTGCTATATTGTCCCGGTCCCATATGTGAAAAATTGTTTAAATGTGTTTCAATAAGAATAACTTTGGACTTTCACCCAAACACATCACTTTTTAAATTTTTTTGCTTGGAATGTTTTATTTTTCTATTTATTTATTATTAATTAATGTTTATTGCAGTGTAGTTACTTTTCAATGTTGTGCGAGCTTCTACTGCATCACAAAATGAATCAGCCATACATATATTTACATATATCCCCTCCCTTTTGGATTTCCCTTCTATTTAGGATACCACAGTGTGCTAAGTTGAATTCATTGTGCTATATAATATGTTCTTATCTGTTGTCTATTTTATACATAGTATCAATAGTGCATATGGGTCATTCCAACCTCCCAGTTCCTCCCACTCCACCCCTTTTCAGGGCTTCCCCAGTGGCACAGCAGTAAAGAATCCGCCTGCAATGCAGGAGCCACAGGAGATATGGGTTTGATCCCTAGGTGGCAACCCACTCCAGTATTCTTGCCTGGAGAATCCCCATGGACAGAGGAGCCTGTCAGGCTAAAGTCCATAGGGTTGCATAGAGTTGGACGCAACTCAGGCGACTTAGCACACATACATACCCCTTTCCCCCTTGAGAACAAATGTGTGGATACCAAACACATCTTTTAAAATAGCGTTGCTCTTGGGAATTCCCTGGCAGTCCAGTGGTTAGGACTGTGCACTACCACTATATAAGACATCGTTTTTGTCCCTGGTTGAGGAACTAAGATCNGATACCAAACACATCTTTTAAAATAGCATTGCTCTTGGGAATTCCCTGGCAGTCCAGTGGTTAGGACTGTGCACTACCACTATATAAGACATCGTTTTTGTCCCTGGTTGAGGAACTAAGATCCTTTATGCCATGAGGCATGGAGAAGGAAATAGCAACCCACTCAAGTATTCTTCCCTGGGAAATTCCATGGACAGAGGAACCTGGCAGGCTACAGTCCATGAGGTCGCAAATGAGTTGGACACAGCAACTAAGCAACAAATGCCACAAGGCGTGGCCAAAACAAAACTCCAAAAAAACAAAACCAGGCAACTTTGCTCTTCCCTCTGCAGCAGTGAGATTTGTGATCCTGAGATTGGGGGTCAGCTTATCATGTGCCCACTCTGTGATGAACTATGTGACTATTGGAGACTAAATTCAACGTGTTTGGCTTCAAAGGTATGTATGTATTGTGGTATGCGGTATGCTTGAAGACTTGCAGTTTACTCCTTTTATATTGCATTTGATACTGAGTAGTCCTTCTGATACTGTTGTTGCAGATCTCCCATTTATTTGACAATGAGTCAACACTGTTCTTTGCCATTTTCATGGGAATTTGGGGTAAGTAAGTAGTTACAAAAAAACAGCTTTCTTTATGTTTTATATGGCTATTCATATAACATACACAGTTGGCATACCTTATAAACCAAGAGTAATTTTAAGTCTTTATGTCTCTGCTAGCATCACTACCTTAATGGAGTCTACATCCGTGGTTGTTAGTCCTTGGTCCAGAAAGGTCCCTATTAGTTATCTACTCATTTCTCTGAAAAGCACTTTAATTTTTGAAACTTTGTATGTATTCAGATCACATTCTCTCTCAGCACTGTGTAAAAATAGGCTCAATAATTGCTTAATTCAGGAGAATAAATGTTAAGTATTTGGTGGCTGGAGGATATTGAGTCATGGACACAAACATGAATAAGACTCAGAAATTTCTGAGGGCTCATATATCAACATTTGAATTTAAGTTCCCTGTGTCAAATTCTATTTGGTTAAAAGCTCCCATATAAAGTGGAATTCCCCTTAATTTTGGAAATGTCCCAGTATCTCTTCTCTTTTGCATCCCATGGGAAGTAGAAGTGTCATGAAGTTTCTCCCATTGTCAGTGAGGAAAGTATTTTCTGTAAGAGTAACTTGTCAAGAAGAGACCTAAAAACTTCTAAGACATGTCTCAGAATTTGGGGGGCTCTGGGAAAAGGTAGACTTTTTTCTCCCCAATTTAACAGTCTTTAACAAAGCACAAGTATGTGCATTTAAAAACTGGCCAAAGGAACAGGCTAACTTGATTCAGTCAAAAGGACACCTGCATTTGTGAGGGTGTGTGTCTCAGAGGGGTTTATGGGTTTCTGTCACTTCTGCTTGACTGTCTGAAGAGAAAAGCCCAGATTCAAAGAGAAAACGGGACAGTGAGGCCTCACCCACAATTCTCCAACCTCCTCTGGTTAAGTTAGTGTATGGATATCTCTTCATCATGTGCCAGACAGATCCTGCCTCTGTCATTTTTTTGGAATCAGAAATGGATGACAGGTATGTATACAAATTACAACAGATGTAATAGTTTTCAATTCTTTCCATTGAGAGAGCTTGTACACCAACACTCACCTTACACGTCATAACAAACAGAAGAGCAACCATACCTGGAACACCCAGCAGCTGCAGTGAATGTGGGAGTGAAGATATCTTCATGATAGTGATTTTGTTTTCTTTGGATATATGCCTAAAAGTGGAATTGCTTTAACATACTATAGTTACATTTTTAATTTTTAAGTCACCTTCATACTGTTTTCCATAATGGCTCTGTTCCAATTTATGTTCCTACACAATGGTTCCCTTTTCTTCAGTTTTGTCCTGCAAAGAAATATCCAGTTTTCCCAAAACCATTTATAGAAGAAACTATTCTTTCCTCATTGAATATTCTCTGACCCTATGTCAAATATTAATTGAACATAATACATGGGATTATTTTTGAGCTCTTGATTGTGTTCTCTAGGTCTGTGTGTTTTCTTTTTATGCCATGCCAATTGTACCATACTATTTTGATTACTTTGTAATATTGAGATCAGGAATATGATGCCCAGTGCTTTGTTCTTCTTTCTCAAGATTGCTTTGTCCATTTGAAGTCTTTTGTGGCCCTATACAAATTTTAGCATTGTTTTCTCTATTTCTGTGAAAAATAGCATTGGAATTTTGGTAGGAATTGCATTAAATCTGGAGATTACTTGGGCAGTATGGACATTTTTATATTAATTCCTCCAATCTATGAACGTGGACTATCTTTCCATTTGTTTCCATCTTCAATTTCTTTCATCAGTGTCTTATAGTATATAGTGTACATATCTTTCACTTCCTTGGTTACATTTTTCCCTGGGTATTTTGTTCTTTCTGATTTTATTATAAATGGGATTGTTTTCTTAATTCCTCTTTCTCATAGTACATGAGTAGTGTATAGAAACACAACTGGTTTTTAATATATTTATTTTTATCCTGGAACTTAGCTAAATTTATTTATTCTAACAGTTTTTTGGTGGAGACTCTAGGATTTTTTTTGTAACTTAATGTTATATGAAAATAGAGACAGTTTTACTTCTTTCCTTTTTTCTTTCTAATTTATGTGTCTTTTTTTTTTTCTTGAGTAATTGCTCTGGCTAGACTTCCAGTGCTCAGTTGAATAGAAGTGGCAAGAATGGGAATTTTTGTTTTATCCTTGATGATAAAGGAAAAGTTTTCAGCTTTTCACCATTGACTATGATGGTAACTGTGGACCTGTCATGTATACCCTTGTATTGAAATACATTGTATTTATACTCATATTTTTGAGAGTTTTTATCATAATGAATGTTGAATTCTGTTAAATGCTGTTTCTACATTTGTTGAGATGGGTTTTTTTTTAATCATTTATTTTGTTAAAATGATATACCATGTTGATCAATTTATGGGTATTGAACTATCCTTATATCCCTGGAATAAATCTCATTTGACCATGGTGTATGATTCTTTTAATATATTGCTGAATTTGATTTGCTACTGTTTTATTAAGGTTCTTTGTATCTGCATTCATCAAGTGTAATTTTCTTTACTTGTATTGTCTTTGTTTGACTTTGGTGTAAGGATAATGATGCCTCATAAAATGAGTTTGGAAGGTTTCTTCCCTCCTCTAGGTTTTGGAAGAATTTGAGAAGGATTATTTCTTCTTTACCTATATTATAGAATTCACCATTAAAGCTTTGAGGCCCGGACTTTCATTTGTGGAGAAGTTTTTGATTACTGATTTGATATCTTTAATGGTAGTTGGTCTGTTAAGATTTTCTGTTTGTTCATGACTCAGTTTCAATAGATTGTATGTTTCTAGGACTTTATCCAGAGAAGGCAATGGCACCCCACTCCAGTACTCTTGCCTGGAAAATCCCATGGATGGAGGAGCCTGGTGGGCTGCAGTCCATGAGGTCGCTAAGAGTCAGACACGACTGAGCGACTTCACTTTCACTTTTCACTTTCACGCATTGAGGAAGGAAATGGCAACCCACTCCAGTGTTCTTGCCTGGAGAATCCCAGGGAAGGGGGAGCCTTGTGGGCTGCCGTCTATGGGGTCTCACAGAGTCGGACATGACTGAAGTGACTTAGCAGCAGCAGCAGCAGGACTTTATCCATTTCTTCTAGGTTATCCACTTTGTTGCCATATGACTGTTCATAGTAGTCTGTTACGATCCTTAGTATTTCTGTCATATCAGGTGCATCAGTTCAGTTCAGTCGCTCAGTCTTGTCTGACTCTTTGAGACCCCATGAACTACAGCACGCCAGGCTTCCCTGTCCATCACCGACTCCTGGAGCTTGCTCAAACTCATGTCCATCAAGTTGGTGAACCATCACTGACTAAATCAGGTGCATGTCTCCTATTTAATTTCTAATTTTATTTATTTGAACCTTATCTTTTTTTCTTGGTAATTATGGCTAAAGGTTTTTTATTTTATTTATCTTTTTGTTGATATTTTCTGTTGTCTTTTGTCCCTGTTATATTTACACTCTGATCTTTGTTATTTCCTTACTTCAACTGCCTTTGCTTAGTTCTTCTTTTTCTAGTTCCTTAAGGTCTAAAGTTGGGTTGTTTATTTTAGCTTTTTCTTGTTTCTTAATGAAGACATTTATCCCTCTGAACTTCCCTCCTAGACCTGCCTCTGGTGTATCCCATAAGTTTTTGTATATTTTATGTCTAGTTTCATTTGTGTCAAGATATTTTTTGATTTCTCTTTTCATTTTCCTAAGGCCCATTGTTTGTTCAGTATCATGCCCTTTATTCTCCATATATTTGTAATTTTCCAGTTTTTATTTTTCATATAATTCTAGTTTTATACCATTGTGGTCAGAAAAGATACTTGATATGATTTCAAACTTTTGAAAGTTATTGACTTGTTTTGTGATGGCAATATATGACCTTTTCTGGAGAACATTCCATGTGCACTTAGAAGAATATTTATCCTGCTACTGTTGGATGGAATGTACTGTAAGTGCCTGTTAAGTCCTTTTAGCTTAACAGTAAAAGTAATTTAGTGAAAAAGTAATTGCAATTTTGGACAGTGAATTTTAAATCTTTATAACTAGGTTCAAACACATCTTTATTAAACAAAATAGGAACCATTACAGTCAACACATTTTTGCCTACAAGAAATGATTGTTTATTCCTGTAGTGTAAAAATTCATGCTTCAGATTTTGATGAACTCTTGGAAAGCATTTTCTACCTCCTGCTGGTTATGGAAGCATTTTGCCTGCAAAAAGTTGTTGAGATGCTTGAAGAAGTGGTAGTCAGTTGGTGAGAGGTCAGGTGAATATGGCAGATGAGACAAAACTTCATAGCCCTATTCGTTCAACTTTTGAAGTGTTAGTTGTGTCACATGCAGTCAAGCATTGTCATAGAGAAGAACTGGCCTTTTTCTGTTGACCAATACTGGCTGCAGCTGGTGTAGTTTTTGGTGCATCTCATCGCCTTGCTGAGCATAGTTCTCAGATAGAATGGTTCTCTGGGATTCAGAAAGCTGTAGTGGGTCAGGTGGGGAGCAGACCCCCCAGCAATGACCATGACCTTTTTTTTTGTTGCAAGCTTGGCTTCGGGAAGTGCTTTGGCACTTCTTCTCAGACCAGTCACTGAGTTACACAAAATTCACTTTTTGTCACATGTCACAATCTGATCTAGAAATGGTTCTTTGTTGTTGCATAGAACAAGAGAAGATGACACTTCAAAATGGCAATTTTTTTGATTTGTGGTCAGCTCATGAGGCACCCACTTATAGAACTTTTTCACCTTTCCAGTTTTCTTCAAATGCCAAACAAATGAAGAATGCTTGACTTGAGTTCTTCGGCAACAGTTTTGTTAATTGTTTTGTAATTCCTTTGTTCCTCTCTTCCTCTGTTGCCTTCTTCTTTGGGGGTGTGATAATTGTCTGTATTGTTATGCTCAGATTCCTTTATCTTTCGCATGTCTTTTATGGGTTTTTGCTTTGTGATTACAAAGGGGTAAAACATCTTGTAATTATATCATTCTATTGCATGCTAAGACAAATTAATTTGAAATACATATAAAGCTCTATAATTTTACTTTCTGTCCTGCCTTATGTTTTTGATGTTGCAGTTTATATCATCTTAGTGTATCCTTTAACAATTATATTTATATACTATATATAACCAGTTATTATAGTTACACAATTTTATTGTAGTTAGTTATTTTTACTACTTTTACCTTTTAACCTTCATAATAGATTTATAAGTGCTTTACCCACCACCGTTATAACATTAGAGTATTTTAAATTTAGCTATATATCTACCTTTACCAGTGACATTTATACTTTCATATGTTTTCATTTTAGTTTAAAGAGGTCCCTTTAACATTTCTTCAAAAGCCACTCTATTTGTGATAAACTCTTTCCACTTTTACTTGTCTGGAAAACTTTCTAGGTAGAGTATTCTTGGTCCTCAGGTTTTGTTTTGTTTTTCCCCAGTATTTCAACTATGTGCTGCTCCCTTTTGGCCTGCTAAAAGTCTTATAAGTGTTGCCTTGTACATAGCATGGTTTTCTCTTCCTGCTTATAAAATTCTGTCTTTGTCTTTAACTTGTGAAGTTTTAATTATAATGTATCTCAGTGTGTTTCTCTTTGTTTTCATCTTTTTTTGGAACTCAGTGGGTTTCCTAGATCTGATATTTGTTTTTTTCCCCCTATGTTAAGAGAAGTTTTTACCAATTATTTGAATATGTTTTCTCTCTAATGCAAATGCTTGTCTGCCTGATATTGTCCCATAAATCCTTTAAGCTAACTTCACCTTTTAAAAATCATCTTCCATTTTTAATTAATTCATTTTTGCTTCTCTGACTGGGTGAATTCTACTTCCCTTTCTTGGAGTTGGCTGATTATTTCTCAGTTTGATCTAGTAAGCTGCCAAACACTTCTGTTGAATTTTGCCATAAAATTCTCGTGTTCTTCAGCTCTGTTTAATGCTCTTGATAATACTCTTGATTTCTGTTTATTACTTTCTTATATTTTCTGTCTCTGTTCACAGTCTCACTTTATTCATGCATTGTCCTCTGTACCTTGGTAAGCATGTTTATTATGACCCTTATTTCGAACTTTGTCAAGTAAATCACTTGACTTCATTTCATTAAAGTCTTTTTCTGAAGTTTGTTTGTCTTGTTCTTTTTCTTGGGACCTATTCCTCTGTTTTTTTCATTTAGCTTGCCTCTTTGTGTTGATTTCTATGCATTAGGTAAAACAACTACCTCTCCTAGCCTTAAAAGTGTGGCCTGTGATTGGCCAGGCTGCCTTCTTCGCTCTCAGTGGCTCCCAGGATTTGGGGCTTTGCCAAGCCAAGATCCATCAGGGTCCCAAATGGGAAGATCTCAGTCAGTACCTGGATGCAGGCTGTTTAGAAGATGGACCCTAAGGCAGCAGCTTTTAAAGTTTGCAAGCTAATCTCTTTCAAGGAAATATTGGAAGATGGGTGTTTGTATCTGCTGCTTCTGCATTTTGCCCTGGGAAGAAAACCAGTTAGAAACTGTTTGTTCACTACAGCAATCAAAACAGTGTGGTACTGACATAAAGATGGACATTCAGATCAATGAACAGAATGGAGTCCAGAAATAAATCCCTTTGTATATGGTTAACTAATTTTCAACAGGATTTCCAAGAAAGCAAAATGAAGAAAGTATAGTCTTCCAATGGTGCTGGGAAAACTGAATATTGCCATGCAAAAGAATAACATTAGATCCTTATCTTTGTCAGCTGAAAAAAATTCACAACCTAAAATCTGAGAATTATTTTTCATTTAGCAGACTTTCTGAGGACTGCAAGCCTGGGAGGCAGACTCTCAGAGAGCTCTGAGGGACTGCTCCAAAGAGAGAAGGGAGGAACCAGGGTGAAAAGGAGTTTTGCAAGAAAGACCAGGTAGTTGGTACATCAAAAGATTACTGTTAATTAAACAAAACTATGTATCTCAAGTTACTGAATTTAGCACTTTTCTATTTATGGGAAGATGCAAGAGTTTGGATCCTTGAATCATTCCTTTGGCATGCACCTTAACTTTCTTGTCTGGTGACTCAGCTGGTAAAGAACACACCTACCAGTGCAGAAAAAAATAAGAGATGTGGGTTCGATTCCTGGGTTGGGAAGATCCCCTGGAGAAGGAAATAGCAACATACTCCAGTATTCTTACCTGGCAAATGCTATGGACAGAGGACCCTGGTGGGCTACAGTCCATGGGGTGGCAAAGAGTCAGACCCGACTGAGTTGTGCCTGCACACTCATTATTTCGGTTAGTTTCTTAACTCTATAATAGTCAGTATTCTGTTCTTTTCTATCCTGAGTTTACTCAAGGCTCATCATCTGGATGGCTGTAGTGGCTTGATGGCAGAAATATCCTTTGTTTACTAATGTGACAGACAACATTTTCATTTGCCTTTTGTGTGCGTGCGTGCCAAGTCGCTTCATTCATGTCAGACTCTTTGTGACCCCATGGACTGTAGCCCGCCAGGCTTCTCTGTCCATGGGATTCTCCAGGCAAGAGTACTGGAGTGGATTGCCATGCCTTCCTCCAGGGGATCTTCCTGACGCAGGGATTGAACCCATGTTGCTTACATCTTCTATGTTGGCAGGCAGGGTCTTTACCGCTTACACCACCTGGAAAGCCCCTCATTCACATCTTACACCATCACAAAAGTCAGTTCAAAATGGATTAGACTTAAACATAAGACCTGAAAGTATAAAACTCTTAGAAGAAAACATAAGGAAAATGTTAATCATGTTGGATGTGGAAATGATTTCATGCAGATGACACCAAAGTCCAGGCAACAGAAACAAACAAAATAAGCCAGAGGAAATCAAACTAAAACACTTATGAACAGCAGAGATAACAATCAACAGAGTGCAAAAGCAACCTATGGAGAGGCAGAAAATATTTGCAAACCATGGTCTGATAGGGGGTTAACCCCTAATATATATGAGGAACTCTTGTAGCTCAATAATAAGAAAGAAAAAAAAAAGAATAACCTGATTTAAAAATGGACAAAGAACTTGGATAGACATTTCTCCAAAGAAGTTATACAAATGGCCAACAGAAAACATGAAAAAAAAATACTTACTGTCTAGTCCTCAGGGAAATGCAAATCAAACCACAATGAGGTGGTATCTGATACCTGTCAGGATGACTGTTACCAAAATTAAAAAAAGACATGTTAATGAGGATGTTGAGAATTGTAATGAACTCCTGTATACTATGAATGGTAGTGCTAAACGGTACAACTGGAAAACAGTGTGGAAGTTCCTCAAAAATTGAAAGTAGAACTACCATGTGATACAGCAATCCCACTTCTGGGTATTTACCCAAAATAATTGAAATCAGGATCTCAAAGAGATGTTAGTATTCCTATATTCACTGCAACACTCTCTATTAATACATTAACCAAGGTGTGGAGTGGTAACAGCCTAAATGTCCATTGATAGACAAATGGTTAAAGAAACTGCTGTGTGTGTATTTTATATATTCATATATATATATATACACACATAAACCAGTTACATCTATGCCTTAGGATCCTAAGGGAGAGTTTCCAGGGGTGCTGATCATGTTTGTGTGCTTTTCTGTAAGTATATTATTCTTTAAGTGATAGTTTATTTAAAAAACTATATATATTGTATAGTATACTATATATAATAATATATATTATACATATACAGAGAGAGCCAGACCAACAGATATAGACAGAGGAGAGAAACACAGAGGCACAAAGAAAGCTATTGTGCTGTGAAATGGCTCTTATATTTCCCTTAAATTTCCCTAAGCCTGAGAAAGTGGTACTGTTGCTTGAATGATTTCAGTAAAACACATGTAAACAAAATCAAGGTGATAGTAAAACGTCACATTCAAATATCATTTCAAGTTATCTGAATGAAGAAAGAGAGAATAGTGTGCCTCAAACATTTTTTTCTATGTTTATCTAAGGAACTAATTGTATTTATATATAGTTATTTCAATACTATTTTGTAGTATTATACTAGAATTCATAGAATTATAATTTTATCATCAAACATAATAGTAACAGAATAACCATCATACAACCAAAATGATTTTTCTAAAGGAAGGAAAACCCAATTATTGACTGCTTATTCATTTATTCTGCCATCTTTTTAGTATGTTTGTTTTTATATATTTCTTTGCCCATAGTCACATTGTTTTTGGAGTTTTGGAAGCAACGACAAGCCAGACTGGAATATGAGTGGGACCTGGTAGACTTTGAAGAGGAGCAGCAGCAGCTTCAGCTAAGACCTGAATTTGAAGCTATGTGTAAAAAAAGGAAACTGAATACAGTGACTCAGGTATATTAGGAAACTGAAATAGGCAGTATATTTCAGTGGACACACTGCCTGTTGGTGGCCTCTCAAATAATTATGTCTATTTTAATCTGCCTTTAAATGTGAAAATTCTCCAACATATAAATCACATAAACTTATTTACTTGATTTTTAACATGCATTTTGAATACAAGAAAAAGTAGGTAGGAAAGTGTAATGACTCCCAGGATGGAGTCATCACTCAGCTTCAATGATTATTAATTCATGGGCAATCTTTTTTCTTTTACACACCCACCCCCCCGCCACTAGATTGAGCATGCATGCGTGAGTGCTAAGTAGACATGACTTAGACATGCTAAGTTATACCTGACTTCAGTCATGTCTAACTCTGTGTGATCCTGTGGACTGTAGCCCACCAGGCTCCTCCATCCATGGGATTCTCCAGGCAAGAATACTGGAGTGGGTTGCCATGCCCTCCTCCAGGGGATCTTTCCAACCCAGGGATCGATCCTGCATCTCCTGTGTCTCCTGCATTGGCAGGCAGGTTCTTTACCACTAGTGCCACCTGCAATTATTTTGAAGCAGATCCAAGCCATCATACATAAAATACATAAGTGAAATAAAACAAAATGGAAAATAGTGTGTATGTTGTGGGCTTTATATATGAATTAGTATATATATATATATATATGAAACACACACACATATATGGAAATGATACTAAGTTTATGTGTGAAAATTAAAATGGTATTATTTTAAGGTAATGAGCTTATGATTGATTGCTTTATTAGACCAAAGTTTATCCATCTAGACCATACTAATTGACTATAATGGGAAGATAATTGCACTGGTGTCTGGAAAAGAAAGTCTAGATTTTAGGATAACTGGCAAACTGGCTGTATGTTATTAATTGAGTTTTTTGACTTCTTGGTATCTCATTTTTGTTTCACATGAAAATGAAAGGTACTTTGTAACTCTTGTCTGCATATTCTTAGAGTTCTTACCTTGCCATACTCTATAATCACCATGTTACCTGATGCTATTAAAGGGAGACTAGAAAGCCTCTAAAATCTCTTCAGTACAATTCCCTACTCTGTTCAGGACACTATTCTTATGTATAACACTCAAAATTCTCACAGTTCAGGTATTCACTAAAGATTTATTAAATTGCATTGAAACCATACAGAAAATTCAATAAATGAATGAAGAGAAAAATCACCTCAGAAAATATATTAAAAATTTGGGTGACAATTTGAAATTAATTGAAATATATTAAAAGAAATATTGTCCTAGTAATGATATGATATATATCTGTTCATACTTCATGGGATATAAAAAGAATGTAAAAGCAGTTCAGTTGGCTTTGCCAAAAACTATTGACCTAAAACCAAGATGTATTGAATGTTTACATTTGAAACCAGTTAAAAAAAAAAACAAAACATATGTATTAGTTCACTGTGAATCATCTATTTCACTTAGCTTTAATGGTTTTGGAAATGAGGTTTTTGTTTTTGTTTTTAACTTCATTGCAGTGCTTCTTCAGTCATTAAGCACAACCTAACCTCTTACATTTGAGTCTGTTAGGAACATGTACATGCATGCATGCATGAAAACCCACACAACTGTACACACAAATATGCACACACATAAAAACACACAAACATTAGATACACACATGTGCATCATCAGATGTATGCACGCACATCCTGAAGTTCAGTAGAGCTCTTGGGAAGCCTGCCCAAATGCAGTCTAACTCAATTAGAAAATTTTTAACATCATTAAAGCATATGCACTTGAGCAGCAGCCTTCACGTTTTGACTTTGTTTTTCCTATGTTGCCCTGAATACCACTAGAATTCAGCACTCAGGAAATAATGTGTATATTATAAGTCTTATCATTTGTAGAATATTCCATCTAGGAGCCTTAAAGGTTTCTACCTAAATGTAAGGAACCACTACTAGAATATAGCTTTCCATGAGCTACGGTGAATCTGCTGATTTAGAGCTACTTGAGCTGGGCTTTGTGATTTTGACTACTGCTTGGAATCCCGACTTTGAGGGTAGATTTTTAATTTTGCTGTGATTTCTTCAAAATTACAGGAGATGGAACCTTACTTGCCTCTATATAGCCGTCTTCCATGGTACATTTTATCAGGAGTCACAGTGATATTATGGGTGAGCATTCTTTAAAACTGTTGTCATCTATTTTATTTCAGATCATATTGGGGTTACCGCAGCAGTTTCATCTGCAATGGCCCGTGTCCCTCTCTTCCCTCCCCCTCCACAGTATTTTGTTTTTATCTTGAATGGAGCGCTTACATAAAATAAACTATAATTTACATGGATGTATCATAATTAAACCTTGGAAAACGAGTTGTGGGGAGAGAGAGGTGCCTTATATTAAAGCCTATTCCTCCTCCTTCCCCAGCTCTTCATTAATTTGGTGATAACTTGAAATCAGAACAGTATAACAAACAATTTGATTGCAGGCCATTTGGTTAGTTTTTGTGAAAAAATATTAATTTGTCTTTATACCCATATAGAGTATCTATACAATATCATTAAGGTTCATTCTCTTGCCAAAATAATGGAAGAATATGTTACATCTTCTACTTAAATAATTTAATTAGTATATCCCATTGTTAGGGAGTCAGATTTTCTCCATGCTTTTTACCCAATAGCTTCCTCCATCTTCATAACGTATTTCCTGCCTTCCCTTTCCAAATCTATGCCCTCTTACAGTTGACCTTTAATTTTAGGAAACAGACAAAGTTACCCTCTGAGATATTAGCCTGTTGAAGTATAAATAATTGGCAATTGTAGACTATTGATTAACCTCACTACTCCATGTTGTCCCACCCATAATTTTTTTTATCTTTAACCTTTTTTATTAAAGGCATTGGTTTTTCTATTTAAATGTGTATTTTCCTAGATGATATAAGAAGCATTTTAGGAGAGATGATAGAATTAAAAGGGGTTATAATCAATTGGGGACACTAAATGAAAAATATTCTAGAGTGTGATAAGATCACTGCCATTTATTTCTAGTACTCATTTAATTTTATTCAGTTCCTCAACTTTCACAATAAAATTCTCCTATCATTGTTATAAAGATCTTTGTGATTTTGCAGTATGGGAAGGTATAAAATTTATACTGGATCTATACAAATATCTAAACTACCAGGCTTATCAGACTGCTAATGGCAATATTGTAAGGGAAAATAAAATTGAATTTTTAAGCATATTTTTCTTGAGAAAGTATGTAATCTTCACAATACATATTTAACTAAAGCAGAGGTTACCAAACATTTGCTGTAAAGGATATATTATAGGTTTTGTGGGCCACAAATAGTCTCTTACACATAATTGTCTTCTTTATAATCTTTTAAAAATGCAAAAAAAGGAGAAATCTTAGAGGGCTACCCAGGAACAGGTAAGGCCACAGTCAGATGCTGGCTTGCTGGCTAATTTTCCAACTTGTTCAAGAGGGTGGACTTAAAGGATGAGCAACGAGCACTTTTCTATTTTTTACTTACTCAGCTGCTACCATACGCCTTATCTCTAACCTTTTTACTTTCCTAGTTTTCACTTCCTGCCGTTTATACCATCTACAGGGAGAGGGGGCTTCCCTGGTGTCTCAGCGGTAAAGAATCCGCTTGCCAAGCAGGAGATGTGGGTTTGATCCCTGGGTCAGGAAGATCCCCTGGAGAAAGAAATGGCAACCCAGTCTTCTTGCCTGGGAAATCCCATGGACAGAGGAGCCTGGTGGGCTACAGTCTCTGAGATCGCAAGAGTTGAACAGGACTGAGCAACTAAACAACAATAGTGAGAGGAACTGGCTTGGCTTGCTCTCCACGTCAGATCTGCTAAACTTAATATATGAGCTGAAGAGAAGAGTATGTTTCAGCTCTGTATACGTTGTCCAGATTCAGAGACCAGAGTGACCAGTTTTTGTTTCCCTTCCCCAGATGGCTCTGATTGTCGCGTGTATGGTAGCTGTGATTGTATACCGCCTGTCAGTCTTTGCTACATTTGCTAGCTTCATGGAAAGTGAAGCATCCTTAAAGCATGTCAAAAGTTTCCTCACTCCCCAGATAGCCACATCTCTCACTGGATCGTGCTTGAACTTCATTGTCATCTTGATCTTGAATTTCTTTTATGAAAAGATATCTGCCTGGATTACAAAAATGGGTAAGCTGGCCAAATCATTAGTATGACTCTGAAAAACAGTTCCTACCAGTGTTACACCTTCATTCTGGATCAGCCCCCAGGGAATTCTTTTCAAAGCACATTTCAAGACTGTTTTGCTCTACAGGTAGACACATAGCCTGGTACTTCAGAATTCCCTAACAGCTACATTCAGGCCTATTACAATGGAAGCAGGAAGAAGAACTAAAAGGAATTAGGCCTCTGTAGATCTTTTTTGAGTATTCTTGCCTTGATCCTTCCTTGATGGGATTAATTGAAGCCTAAATAAAATCCTCACATATTTCTCAAGACACAGATAATTCTTATTTCTTGTATATGGTTTTTGGGAGGTGTTGAATTTTGAAAGCCACTGTCAGAAAAGCAGAACAATCAGGTCCTCCTGAAGAAATCTAAAAGTTAGTGCTTTTCTTTTCAGTTGCCATGTCTTAGGAGCTGGATTATGTTCATGTGAAATTTTCTCCTAAAACCATGAGGGAAGGTGAAGAGGTCCCCAGGTGGAATGGGAGGTTCCTCTGGGGAGAGTAGCAGGGTTGTTTCTGCCGTTGCCCCCAGCAAGCTGGAGACTAGATCAGAGACGGCTCCTGCCTCAGCTTCTTCTGTGACTGCCCTCTCCAAGAGCTTCTGCCTCTCTCCAGATCTGTGCACTGTCACTGGACCAGCACAGTATTTACTCAGCACTAGGGTAAATACTGGAGAAGGAATGGCAACCCACTCCAGTGTTCTTGCCTGGAGAACCCCGAGGACAGAGGAGCCTGCTGGGCTGCTGTCCATGGGGGTCCCACAGAGTCAGACACGACTAAAGCAACTTAGCACGCATGCATGCATGCACTGGAGAAGGAAATGGCAACCCACTCCAGTGTTCTTGCCTGGAGAATCCCAGGGACAGAGGAGCCTGAGGTGTTGAATTTTGAAAGCCACTGTCAGAAAAGCAGAACAATCAGGTCCTCCTGAATAAATCTAAAAGTTAGTGCTTTTCTTTTCAGTTGCCATGTCTTAGGAGCTGGATTATGTTCTTGTGAAATTTTCTCCTAAAACCATGAGGGAAGGTGAAGAGGTCCCCAGGTGGAATGGGAGGTTCATCTGGGGAGAGTAGCACGGTTGTTTCTGCCGTTGCCCCCAGCAAGCTGGAGACTAGATCAGAGACAGCTCCTGCCTCAGCTTCTTCTGTGACTGCCCTCTCCAAGAGCTTCTGCCTCTCTCCAAATCTGTGCACTGTCACTGGACCAGCACAGTATTTACTCAGCACTAGGGTAAATACTGGAGAAGGAATGGCAACCCACTCCCTCGAGGACAGAGGAGCCTGCTGGGCTGCTGTCCATGGGGGTCCCACAGAGTCAGACACGACTAAAGCAACTTAGCACGCATGCATGCATGCACTGGAGAAGGAAATGGCAACCCACTCCAGTGTTCTTGCCTGGAGAATCCCAGGGACAGAGGAGCCTGCTGGGCTGCCGTCTATAGGGTCACACAGAGTTGGACACGACTGAAGTGACTTAGCAGCAGCAGCAGCAGCAGCAGCAGGGTAAACACTGAGAAGTCACTGCCATTATAAATATTCTTTTCATATTTGGAGTTTGCAACAGTGTGTGTGTGTATGTGTGTATACATATATCTGTGTGTGTGTGTGTATAATATTTATTAGCACCTAAAACCCAAGCACCTAAAAATACCGTAGCTTTCACCACTGAGAAAAATCACCTGTACTCACCTTAGAGCTTTTGTAGGAATGCAACTAAATTTTAGTAAAGTGGAAGAGTTATCTGTGTCTTCAGAATATGCGTCACCATTTCCGTGTTGCTGAACATGTCCTGGTTTTGGCTGAATCAGCTCATACCCTTGGAAGATCATCATCTCAGAAAAACATGGTCCCTTACTCTTTCACAGCTCATGCCTTCTCCTATGGTGTGAAGAGACTCTTAACATTTTCTTATCTTTGGAGTTCATTAAGCAGTAGATCATGATCATCCACTTTATATTTTTTTCCATTTATTTTTATTCGTTGGAGGCCAATTACTTACAATATTGTAGTGGCTTCTGCCATACATCGACATGAATCAGCCATGGATTTACATGTGTTCCCCAATCCGATCCCCCCTCCCACCTCCCTCTCCACCCAATCCCTCTGGGTCTTCCTAGTGCACCAGGCCCGAGCACTTGTCTCATGCATCCCACCTGGGCTGGTGATCTGTTTCACTATAGGTAATATACATGCTGTTCTCTCGAAACATCCCACCCTCACCTTCTCCCACAGAGTCCAAAAGTCTGTTCTGTACATCTGTGTCTCTTTTTCTGTTTTGCATATAGGGTTATCATTACCATCTTTCTAAATTCCATATATATGTGTTAGTATACTGTAATGGTCTTTATCTTTCTGGCTTACTTC